GCCGCATGCACAGGCGGCCACACCCCGTGCAGGGGCCCTCGGTGCGAACCGGCCGGGCCTGGACACAGATGGTGGTTTCACCGCGTGTCCCCTCCGCCCATGTTGGCCCCCAGCGGCCCACTCAGCAGGGCCCCTCCCTCGGGTCCACCAGAGGCCCACGTGGGTGCGAGTGAGCCCCCCTCGTGCCCTCAGGACGGCTCTGCTCCAAGTTACTCACTGTGCCTCTGATCCGGTTCCCTTTTCCGAAATGTCATTGTGACAAATGTGTTGCAGAAGACAGCACTTCCAGAGTGAGGTGCCAGCGAGGCCTGCTCCCAGCGCCCCCCCGCCCCCCAGGACTGGGGCCTGGGCAGGACTCGCACACTCCCCAGACGGGGAGCTCACCCCCTACCCAGGCGCCCTCTCCTGCTCACCCACCTCCTCCCAAGGTGGAACCAGGCTGTGTCCTGCTGGGCCAGGCTGGGGCAGCCGGGGTGGCAGCGCCGGCCTCGCCGCCCCTCCCCTTCCTGCCCGCCCTTCTGGGCACCCTCTCAGTCCTCAGGGTGTGTTGACAGGTGGGCGGGCTCAGTCTACCTCCTGGGAGGGCAGCTGTGGCTGAGGTCCCGCCCAGCTGAAACCCCAGGGGAAGAGAGAGGGGGGAGGGAGGGAGGAGAGGGGCGGAGAGGAGAGGCGACCACCATGGGCCCTCGGAGTCGAGTCAGGGTGGCCAAATGCCAGATGCTGGTCACCAGCCTCTTTGTCCTGGTAACAGGCAGGTTGGGGGGAGAGGGGGCTTCAGGGGAAAGGGTGCCGGCCGTGCGACTAGGCCTCCAGCACAGTGGCTCCCCCACATTGGGGTGGCTGCCCCTGTGGGTGGCGTCTGCCCCCCTACCACCAGACAGCCAAATGCCTGGAGGAGGCCTGGGTGGCGGGTGCACTGGGGTGGATGGGGGTGATGCCTAGGGGTTGCTGTCACAGGGAGGACCAGGGCTGGGACTGGGGGGCCCACTCCCCACTGTGCAGAGTGAGCCAAGGCCCCTGGTTGTGTCTTTGTGTGTGTGTGTCAGGGTGTCTGTGGGGTGTGTGCTGGGGTGCCTGTGCAGGGGGAATCTGTGTGTGTCAGGGGTACCTGGGCAAAGGCCTCCCTGAGACCACCCCAGGGGCACGCCTGGAGCTGAGCCTGTCTCGTGTGAGACCAGGAGGCTGGAGGGAGCCCCACTCTGGTTCTGCGCCCCCAGCTGCTGGGCCTCCTGGTGGCCACCATGGCGGCTCTCACCTACTTCGGGGCCCACTTCGCCGTCTTCAGCCGTGTGTCCCCGGAGGGCTCCTCCTACCCGGCCCTGCACCGTGGGGGTAAGTGAGGCTCGGGAGCCAGGCCGCCGTGGGGGAGCCTGGCTGGGGTGCAGCCCCCAGTGGGGTGGGCCTGGGACAGGCAGCGGGTCCCTGGCTGCAGTGACCGGAGGGGGTGTCCCCGCAGAGGGGGGCTCAGCCCTGGGGGGGCCTTG